AGAGAGAGAGAGAGAGAGAGAGAGAGAGAGAGAGAGAGAGAGAGAGAGAGAGAGAGTACGCGAAGTGATGGCATGCAATAGTGAACGAGCGAATTCGGCAGTGATGTCACCGTCCAATGTAGCGCCCGCTTTAATGCACGGAGCCAATTGAATTTCACGCGTGTGTTCCGCCTCACTTATCACGCTTGTCTCATTCAAGTGCCATAGAAATCTTTGATCGACGCGCCAAAGCCACCGAGCGCCGAGAGAGCCACGTGCACACACGCCTGACGTCACTTATTATTATTGCCGGGCATTACAGCATCGATACAAGTAACGACCGATAAGAACAAATAATAAAATATAATAACGTCGCGAGACAAAACAACTCCGCGTCGCGTATCGCTCGTCGCGCTAATTTCACATTCATATCGATTCCGCGCTCTGATATACACGGAACTCAATATTGACGTCCTCGTAATCGGTAATAAACACACACACGCACGCGAGTTTTACACACACACGTGTCGCATCGGCTGAAAACTTATACGTTTTTTCACAGAAATGCCGGTCGATATCGAACGCAATGATACACGTCACAGATGACACCTCTCACCTCGGACTTTTTACCGGAACGATAAATAACGTACGAACACATTACATATTTTCCCGGAACAATGCAATTCAGACGTTCCGGTCGAGATCTGATCTCGGGTAATTTTTGCTGTTTGATTTTTTCTGTGAGGTTTGTTTTTTTTTTTTTAATATACTTTTTTTCTAAACGAAGGAAAATTTTTCACTCTCCTCTCGCTACGTTCTCAATCTCTTTCTCGGCGAATTTTCAAAATTTTACATCTTCTCTCGTAAAATCTCTTACATACACTTTGCCGATCACACACCGTGCGTTATTCATTAAAATTTCCACTAGAACACTCCGTTCGGAGAACGCGAAACGATCCGAAAACTTAACGCTCGCGCGAGAGTTCAACGTCACGTCAACGTCACACTCGGAATACATTCAAATGCTCTTCTCAAAATTATTTCACGCATATTCGGACTAAGTAAGTAAATTTTCCGAGGATGCGCGGAACATCGAGCGATTTAAAAATAGACACTTGCAGTCTATTTCGCACCGCCGCGCGAACGAACTGCTTCGAAGTGGTCTGTTCTAATTCTCACAGCCGTGACTTTAGTTCCGAGGTTCTAGAGATGGTCGATAAAATGCCTCGACAAGGCGCTCTCGCGCCCACGCTTATTTTCCACGAGCGTGTGCCACTTCATCCGTCGCGTCGAATGAATGAATGAATGATCCCGCGTCTATCCGCTAAAGATAGATTCTTTTTCGTAAAATTTACTATCCTCGAGGGAGAGAATATTACCGAGCGGAATGCATTCGTGCCGCGCGCGATCTCTTATCTTCGTGACGTTTGAATCCGGGACACGATGTTTTCGATTGTTCAACACATGCAAACGCTGTCAATAGAGAACGTGTCCCACTTGCTTCGGGCACACGATAATGTGTATGTACACACGACGTATGCGAGCACGCGTGATCGCGTTTGCTCGCTGATCGGTATCATTATTTTATGACGAAGCGCGTGCGCGCGCGCGCGCTTGTCTCACCGTATCTTACCGTATTACAACATGGATAAACGTTGTTGCAAGTTTCTCATATAACAGATTTAAAAACGCGGCAAATTGATTAGTGAGAAATCGATCGAGAACTTTTCGTCATCAAATTTCGCGTTGAAAACACCGCGCGAATAATACCGAGCGAGTCAACACGGAACGAAAATTCCCCGTTAAAACAAATATAGTCACTTTGAAACGAAGAGAACGAACAAATTTTTTTTTTTCTCATTTACGGAGAAGTTTCTTGACGGACAAAATTCAGCTCGCGAGAGAGAGACGAAAACTTGGAGAAGCCAAATTACGCAAACAAGCTTCGAGCTTCATTACGAGCAACTCTCGATATCGTCGAGCAGCGGCAATCAGCTTAAAGGCTCAAGCCGCTTAAACTGCTAATTAAATGCCAAAACTTCATCTGATGTGTTTTACGCGAATTACGCCCGAGCGTTAAAAACAGAGCAAAGGATTCGACTAATAGTATCAGCAGACGTTATTTGCTTCATTATCGAGTTGCCGCGAGCCGAGGAGGAGCGTGCTTGCGAGTATAATGAGCGGCTCTAACGAACCGAAAGTACGATGCCGAGATTTTTCGAATTGATCGACAAAGACGACTCGACGAAATTTTGTATAATGTTGTTACACAATTAAAAACATGAGAAAATTATTGTTGACAAACAAGTGGAACTTTTCTCTCACAAAAGAAACGTCACAGAATTTTTGCATCTTCAAACCACTCACAAAAGTGGTCTAATTCCTTCGAACTCGTAAAAAATCCGTCCGATAAAAAATCGCGCGAGCGAATAATCTCACGCCTGCGGAAATTATTTACACATCGATAGCGTGTGTGTTTTAATCTGCTCGTGTCTATTTCTACAAGTGTCAATGAGGTTGCTCGCTTGATGAAATTAAATCGTCAAGTCTCACCAAATACACACGTACGGTTCGTATTCGGCAAGCATTGCGTTACACGATACTCTGCATGCAAGCGTGAGCATAAAAGCCGTACGTACATACACCGATCTCGTGTTACCTGCATTCCGTCGAACTAAGCACTAGGAGGCGTTTCTAATCCCCGGACTCGTGCCTGCAGCGGCCCTCATTATGCAGCACGTTTTGAAGCACGTAGTAATAAACGCCTGTGGAAAAACGAAGCCGTATATTTACGCCTCCGTTATTACGCATCCGAGTCCCGGCTAATGTGCCATCAAGGCGTTTCGCAGCGCGATTAATCCGCCGATCGCGAAACGCAAATAATCTTTGCTCTTGAAAATAATATCGTTGTAACACACTTACGTGTCGTGGCGTTTCATGTGAATATTTGCACGCAATGCTACTTGACACTTTATCCACCGGAAGTTTGTTAATAGGCTTTTCGATGCCGCCGCTCATCGACCGGGAGCCTATTAATCGGCTTTTTGCTGCCAACGCTTATCGAAGAGTAAATAATAATTAAATTGCACACAGTGCTCCGCAATAAGAGAAATCAGAACGATACGATTTTCTCGAATTTTGATTTAAAAATTGTAGAGCTTTCGAAATAATCGCATACATTCTTGCGCGAGTCAGTAATCGAGACGTATTCGCACTTGAACGAACGAGTCGGGAGCAGCCACGCTCGTAGTCACGAGCGGTAAAGTGTTAATATAAATTCTATACCCATGAGCCGCCGAGCAATCTTGTTGAAGTAGTTCGTAAGTATGGAGGAAAGTAGTTTTGCGAACGGTAAAGACTGCATAAATGATCACATTTACGTTTCTTCGACGAATATTCGTAACATATTTATAAATGCCACACAACACTTGGCGGATACTGTGTACTTGTGCGAGTACATTTCTATCCGGTTTTTACAGACACGTGACTAACGTAAAGTCACGTGACTTTAATTTAGTCACGTTTTTAAAGTCACGTGACTAGAATAAAGTCTCGTGACTTTATTCATGTGTTTTTTTCTTCTCTCTCTCTATTTTTGGAATTTTATTTTTATGTGTTATTTTCGACACCTCTTATATGTGTATTATATGATTTGTAATTTCATAAACAAGAGTGAAGTGTAACTGTACGTTACATTGTGATTTTAACGTTACGTTCGTAATTTTATACATTAAAAGCGCGATAGGTCGGAATCGTTATTATTATTTACGTAAATTAACACACAATATTGCGATTTGCACTGTGCGTGAGAGTCTTGTTAGCGCAATTGTTAGCAGCACGATAATTATCGCGTGCGCTGACCGCTTACATACGACACTTAAATATCTGGCTTTAAAACTCAATATATCGTATCAGTGAAGAATCTGTGTATATCATTTGTCTTACACGATGTTCTCATAAAAATAATTGCGAGTCTAAGAAAGAAACTCGAGATGTGATGAAACAAATGCTTTTGTTCGCGCTTTTCAGAGAGATGTCACCGAGTCAACGAAGGAGTTTATCGACAAAGAGCAGGTGACTAGCATGGTAGCGCGGGATGTCGTCGACGACACCCGATTTGATACCGCACTCCGGTTTCCAGCGGATTCCACGAGAAAACCGTCGCCGGAACGGCCCGGTTATCCTCGCGGAATACTCGGACTCCGAGAGGACGATCGACCAAAACCGATTCCCGCCGCTGGGAAACCCAGTCGACCTCCGCAACGCGAGAGAAGTCCCCAGCGGCCGGTGGAACATGGCAGGTGAATAAAAAAAATCTGTTTTTACATATATATTTAAAAAAAATAAAACTTGATGGCAATGTTACGCAATTTGTCACTTTTATCTAAAACAGACCTTCCGAGGTTCGGCCGAAGTCGCCTGAGAAGCTTCGGGATTACACATCGCCGACTCGAAAGCCGCAGCCAGCGGCCGGCAAGCCGAGTCGTCCCGAGGTACCCGTAGCACCTAGAAAACATGAAGAACAGCCCACGAAACCAGCTGCTGGCAAACCTAGTCGGCCCACGGAGAAGCCCGAAAAATCGAAGGGTCCGGATGTCAAGCCGAAACGGGGAGATCAGTCGCCAGATTCTCTCGACGAAGATGCCGTCCATCCCGAACCGATTCCCGACATACTATCGAAAATTCCCCTGAAGGAGCAATGTATCTGCGAACTTTGCACCTGCGGGTAAGTTTTTCTTTTCCGAAATGCTTCCCTTATATACACATATCTATAACTCGCGTTGGAGATTGTGGAAAAATCAGGTGCTAGCTTGTGTGTAAATTTAAACGCTGTTCTCGGCATCGCAGAATTTTAATATCGCGGAATCGGTAAACGCAAGAAATATAATTAACAAGTGTAGCTGGAGCGCGTGAGCACACCTTAATTTAATTTATCTTTAGCACGTTCGCCGTGCAGAAGTGAACACAGCCGACCTACTTCCGAACAGCATTAACAAGATCAAAATACAAAACTTAGCGATGCCGGGACGCATATTGACGAGCGGATGCGCAGAAGATTGTCTTCAAGGCCATCTTTCTAGCTCGATTAAATTCATCTCAACGGTCTTTATTTATGGCAATCAATGTTCGCTACGTACGAATTGCTCTAGTCTTGTCTTGTGACATTGTTCGAAACACGTCACTCGTGTCTCTTTTGTACGTAGTTGCGATGTTGTTGTTGGAAAATTTTATCCTTTAAATTATTTCTAATTAATACACAGAAAACACAGATATATTACTTTATTTCTGATTAATATCTCTGTGTGTTTTTTTATTTCACAATTTCCGATATATTTCTTACCGTGAAGAAATCAATGACAAATTTACTCAAAATCACGCACGATTGTTTTAAAAACATACATAAATATGCGTATGCATATGTGTACGAAAGTAGGACACGAGAGAGATCCTTTTACGGTAAGTTGTTTCTGACGGTATATAAGTCATCGCGCGATTTCTTCCTTATTCGAACTTTTCAACCTACGTGTGACGTCTCATGACGGTGACGAAGCGCGCACAAGTTTACGATACAGCTTCGGTAATTGCGTCAAACACATCATCTCTGAAGGACATTTATTAGATATCCTTCGAGAGCTCTGGCGAATGTCCTTCAAAAGAGAGCATCCGATTACGCGCTTTACCATTGCTGATCTCAAAAATGTGTTCGATCCGTTTAATTGCTCCGAAGTTTCACGTGAGATTATCGAGACCAGAAAATTCCCCTCGATATGTTTTAAGCAAAACTACATCTTTTGTTTCTTAACCTTTAGCATCTCTTCGCGCGACGATAATATAATTTTGAGACGTTCCGTGTAGTATATACGCGCGTGTAAACTCCCTTATTAAATTGAAAATCCTGATCCGGATAGAAGCTTGTAGACAGATTCGCACGGGATGCGGTAAGCTCGTGTGGAAAATTAGTCGCGTCGTGGCTGTCACAAGGAGTAATTGCGGTTCGTCTACTACTTGTTGGAAATTTCTACGTAAGTCTGATCTCAACTTTGAGATCCGATATAAACTTCCTCTTTCTGGCTTAACGCGATTCTAAAGAGATGTTTCACGACGCGTCGTGTAACACGAACTTGTAAAAAGTACGCGATGAGACATGAGGCGTCGTTTTTTGAGTCTGACTCTCACGGGAAAACGTTGAGTCTTCGTGATATTCGACGGCGTAAAGAGAAGAGAGACAGAACGTTTCGATTTCGATAAAAAAAAAAACTCTACATAAATATATATACGAAAGTAGAACGCGCTTCGAAATCTGGTTCTCCAAATCAGTTCGACCGCTCTGCATAAAATATTGGCAGGAATACTTCATTTGTTTTCTCTTTCACGTCATCATTTACGGCAAACAGAGCCGGTATTGCCTTCGGAATGTGCAAAGTATCGTCCGGTGAAAGGAGCATTGCGTGCTTTTTGAAAAGGAAACAGTTGCTTTTTATTTAATACGATCTCGATGACGAGGGATCATTTGTATGATTCAATAAAATGCTGATACATTCTTCGAGAGATGTGTTTTAAATCACACGTGACTGTGTTGTGACTTCGCAGCTCTCTCAGACTGCAATTGTATTGAATGAGAGCTTAATTGGTATTCTTGCAGTCAGGTCGAAGAACGTCTAATTAAGTGAATGAGCAACACACGTGCAACAACGTCTTCACTTGTGAGAACGAACGTCATTAGTTCGTTACACCGGCGTCGGTCTGATTTGATGTGACTAACAAATATTTTAATATACATAATGTATAGAAATTATAAATTTACATAATGACATAAAAAGCGTTTGCTTACTTGAATTAAATGAAAATGAGTAATACAATCTGAATGGTAAGTTAAAATAAAAAACAAACAAAAATAACGAGATCGATTCAAGTGGTTGCGTGACAATAACTGCTTATGGGGTCCCAATTAAACGAATCCGATGTAGTTTTTATTGCAAATGATATGAGCGCGAATGAGAGAGATCACAATTTTCATTTCTATACCCATCGTACTTATGATGACGCCGTGTGTTGCAGAGATTAAATTCCAAAAGTACCATTTGAAATTATAACGCGAGCGATGTTACTTTTATTCTCATTACGCACGTCTTTATTTTTATTATAGAACGTTGTTTATGTTAGTCGGTTGGTCTTGATATTTTAGACGTCATCGATGTCCGCACAATTTGCCTCAAGAACACCTGGAGTTTCCTGAAGAACCGGTGCACATCGTTACGTCTTATCGTCAGGATTTCGACGAGAAACGTGTAGAGAAGCAACAGAAATACTATCATGAAGATCATTTACACACGGAGGGCGAATTTATCGGGACGAGGCGAAGCGATTACGTAGCTACTAAGGGCGAAAGAGCACCGGTGAAAAAACCGCAGGACTCGTTAAAACCGGAAGGCGAGTGGATCGGCAGACCACGCGAGGAAGCTCCAAAACATGGCGAGAGAGCGCCAGTTACGATACCACAAGATAACTTAAAACTTGCAGGAAGTTTCGACAGTAAGAGTTTTTATTTACATAGTCATCTGCTTTCTATCTATTTATTTCGATCGATCTATCTATCTTTTTTCTATCGCAAATAATTAAAAATCTCGGAATTATAATATTTTAATTTGAAACTTTATTAAAAACAAGTTCAAATATTATTTGATATGTTATAAAATAATTATTGTAAAATACACGAGAAAGAAAACTATGACCCTTCTTCTAGCTACAACAACGACCGAGCTAGTTTTCACGGGCACCCCCGGCGAACGACCAACCCCAATACGCCGCAATACTTATACGAAAATAGAGGGCGATTTTATTGATGAAACGACAACACGATCTCAGTACATCGATCATCGAAGTATTCAACGCGCTGAGATTGTTAAGCGAACGGATAATCTAACTGTGGGAGAGGGTGAATTCACGGTTAGTAAACATGGTACACAATGTTCGCGTATATGTTTCGACATCTTCAAATTATAATTATGTTGCAGGGTACTTCTCATATGAAGGAGGATTTTCAAACTTATGTTGTCGAGCGCGGACCTCAACGGCGACCGATGTATCCCGAAGATGCTGATCGATTTTATAGCACAACAGATATTACTGATAACACCACAACTACTCAAGACCAATATCGAACCTATATTGAAAAAATGCTTATTGGTCCTGAAGAGAAACGTACGCCAATTAAACCTGGTCCTACTTTAAAATTGGAAGGTGAATTCGAAAGACCAAGACCTGAGGAATTCAAGCCTGCAGAAAGGCGCACTCCACTTAAACATCCCGATAATCTTCGTCCAGAAGGAGAGTTCGTTGGTAGACCGAAGGAAGAGAGAGACGTACCGTTGAAAGGCGACCGAGCAGATGTAAAGAAACCAACGGATAATCTTCGTCTGGAAGGAGACTTTGTACGACCCGAACGTGTGGAAGGTTATCGACCAGCTGAGAGACCAGAGGTCAAGAAACCGGAAGACAATCTACGTCCAGAAGGAGAATTTGTTGGTAGACCGAAGGAAGACGTGCCGTTAAAGGGCTATCGAGCGGATGTGAAAAAACCAAAGGATAATCTTCGTCCGGAAGGAGACTTTGTACGACCCGAACGTATAGAAAGTTATCGACCAGCTGAGAGACCAGAGGTCAAGAGACCGGTAGACAACCTTCGTCCAGAAGGTGATTTTGAAAGACCAAAACCTGAAGAATTTAAACCTGCAGAGAGACGTACACCTCTTAAACATTACGATAATCTTCGTCCAGAAGGAGAATTCATTGGTAGACCGAAGGAAGACGTGCCGTTAAAGGGCGATCGAGCGGATGTGAAAAAACCAAAAGATAATCTTCGTCCGGAAGGAGACTTTGTACGACCCGAACGTGTGGAAGGTTATCGACCAGCTGAGAGACCAGAGATCAAGAAACCGGTAGATAACCTTCGTCCCGAAGGTGAATTCGAACGACCAAAACCTGAAGACTTTAAACCTGCAGAAAGGCGTACACCTCTTAAACATTACGACAATCTTCGTCCAGAAGGAGAATTCGTTGATAGACCGAAGGAAGACGTGCCGTTAAAGGGCGATCGAGCGGATGTGAAAAGACCAAAAGATAATCTTCGTCCGGAAGGAGACTTTGTACGACCCGAACGTGTGGAAGATTATCGACCAGCTGAGAGACCAGAGGTCAAAAGACCAGTAGACAACCTTCGTCCAGAAGGTGATTTTGAAAGACCAAAACCTGAAGAATTTAAACCTGCAGAGAGGCGTACACCTCTTAAACATTATGACAATCTTCGTCCAGAAGGAGAATTTGTTGGTAGACCGAAGAAAGACGTGCCGTTAAAAGGTGATCGAGCGGATGTGAAGAAACCACAAGATAATCTTCGTCCGGAAGGAGACTTCGTACGACCCGAACGTGAAGGTTATCAACCAGCTGAAAGACCAGAGGTCAAGAAACCGGAAGACAACCTTCGTCCAGAAGGTGATTTTGAAAGACCAAAACCTGAAGAATTTAAACCCGCAGAGAGGCGTACTCCAATAAAACATACCGATAACCTTTATCCAGAAGGAGAGTTTATTGGTAAACCAAAGGAAGATGTTCCATTAAAGGGCGATCGAGCTGA